CAAGAAGTGCTCAGCACACTGAAAATTCCAGCCTGAAAGGACTTCTCAGGCACCTGCTGACATGCAGAAGAAAAAATACCCAGAGGGTTAGCTGAAAGCCTACCATTCTCAGGTGCAGAAAGCATCTCTCTGTAGACAGCAATTTAAAACATCTCCTGCAAAGGTCTCATTTTATCCAGCTTCTCAAAGTTAATTCCTTGAACAACAGGTTTATCAAGCTCCTCTTATGGCTGGGTTTGCCAAACACATACGACCCCCTCAGGGATGAAAGTCATCATTTGGCACTTAGGACAGTAATTATCAGTGCTAGTGGATTGCATCCATACTGAAACCAATGGATCCACGTGCTTTACTAATTTATCAAGCATTTTCTGCCTCTGTGTTTGCACTATATAGAAGCAGCCTAGAAATACTGACTTTCAGAGGTGAAAGAACAAGACTCACTTCATTTCTAAGCCAAGGCTGAGACTGATAGTTCATCAGCAGAGGACTATGTTTTGGCTTACTGGCGTCAACAAAGCAGTTTGGAAAGCCATCAGCCTGGCACCTTGGCTTTTGGGAACTAAGAAAACTATAGGCTTGACTCTCAAAGTCAGGCAGAAAAAAGTATACCAAAGAACAGTCAGAGTAAGATCAGGGTTTCTATAGCAGCCTAACAAATCCCATACAGAATTTAGTCTGTTTGAAGAAGCATAAAACTGTCATGAAGTCACTTCCATACCCACTGTGACACTGCTCAGCTTGCCAAGTCGGAAAAGCATGTTCTGGATCATATTTTGCATAACCCTTTAGTTAGAAAAGGAACACCAGGAATTTTTCATAAATTCAGAAGACTGTTCCCGCTATTTTTTCCTCATGCAAACAATTTACTAGCCCAGGGTTCAAAATCAGTGTTATGAGCACTGGCTGCCCTCTCTGTTTCCTCTCCTGAGCTCAGGTGCTTCACCTTGCTCATGCCTACGAGCAAGTGTGTACTGTTCACAAACCAGACCAGCGTTGGGCAGTTTGCACAGATTTGAGAGCCTCTACCAGCAGACCCAGACTGAACAGGTACCTGAAGATTTGCCTTCTTGAGCCGGTCATTGATTATCTCTGTATTGCCCTGCTCCTCCTCCAGCTCCTCCTCCAGCTGAGCTATCCGGGCCTCCAGGCGTCTCTTCTCCTCCATGGCCAGTGCTCTATAGGACACAAGCATTAAAGTGGTGTTGATGGCATTAGGATCTTGAGGAATCTTCCTGCTTATTACAAAATGAGCTCAATCTTTCAAAGGAATAGAGGGTACAGCACAAACTGCAATCTGCATAAAAATAACAGCCCACGAAGTATTTTCTCAGAGCAGCTCCTCCACCCTTGAGCAGGGGAACGTTACTCACCCTTTACCACTGTTGTTAGCAATCTCATCAGCCAGCTCGTCCCTTTCTTGCTGGGCCTGGCGCTTGGCGCGCTCTGCGGCTGCAAGTTCCTGGAATGAAAACGAGACAGCCAGTGATGCAATAGGAAGCTACCAATTAATGCAGAATAGCAAAAGCAGATAATATTATTGGTCTCTAGCTGGTTTCAGACTTAACTATAAGACCTAATCTGTTTTCCTCCTACTCTATAGCTTCCTTTGTTTTTTATCACTCCTATTTCAGCTGTCAAGAAAAGTCCAAATTGTACTGCTGGAAATAGATCTTGTGTTTGAGCAAAGCAAAAGAAGAAAAAAGAAAAGTTCAGACTGTTACCCTTGGTTTTTGGCCAAAGAAAACGATCAAACCCTTGACCTGCACACATGTTCCATTACCTCCTGCAGCTGGATCATCTCTGCCTCCATGCTCTTCAACTTCTTCTCGTTCTCTTTAGCCTGTGCCAAGATCTCTTCTCTGGAAGTACGCGTGTCTTCCAGTTCCCTCATGTAATCCTTCATTTGTGCCTGAAAAGGAAGAAAAAACAAAAGGATCAGTTTCAGGGCATCCATGTGAACAGAGCTGTTTACAGGAAATGTGGAATAAAAATGGAAACAAGAACTGCATTAATCTTTAGCTAATCTTTCTACAAACGTAAAAAGAAAGAGAAATAAAGAAAAGAGACATCTTTAGCTAATCTTCCTATAGATGCAAAAAGAAAGAGAAATAAAGAAAAGAGAGAATAAAGAAAAAGAAAGAGAATAATCTTGGTTTTTTTTTTCTGCAATTTAAGCATCTCTATATGCTCCCATTACTGCTTTTCCTGGTACTTTTGAAATGGAGAAAAAAAAAAAAAAAACCTCATCAGACACTGTGGAATAAAGCTTTCTAGCGAAGCACCGGAGTGGATTCCTTAGGGAGGATTTGGAGTCTTCCCTAAGAACAGGGCAGATAAGTGCTTGTAGGAATTACAAAGACATGGCACAACTGTCTTGGGGCATGAGAAGGTTTAAACAATCTTTTAAGGTCTTTCTAGCTTTGCAGCTCCATAATTACTCCCAAAAAGACTGACACAAGGCAAGGACTAGAGTGGACTTTGTCTACAGCTTGTCTCCCAGGGAATCAAACAGGCAGAGCAAGGATTAGATCGACATTTGAAATGTCGATAACTCACTCTGGTTAAATTGCCACAAGGCTCTCCTGCTCCTGTGACACTGATGCAAGATTTCACCTCATGGGGACCACGCATCTCATTTTCTCCCTTGGGAAGTGCTTTGCATGGGCAGCTAAAGCAGTTACAACTCCTCACCTGCAGTTTGCGGAGCTGCTTGATGGCTTCTTCACGATTCTTGTTAGCAGTCTCTATGTGGCTCTCTATGTCCTTCAGGTCCATCTCTAGCTTCTTCCTGGCAGCCACAGCAATAGAACGTTGCTTTCTTTCATCTTCCAATTCTGCCTCCATTTCCCGTACCTGGATGGAGAAATAAGGGATCAGTGCATCAGCTCCTTGATTACCCAGCAGGATGTGAAAACTGGCCATTAAGTGCAAGCATGTGACTTGTTTTTCCTTCTTCTGATGGAGTGGAACTAACATTTCTTACTGATAAAGCCACATGGCTCCCTCTGACAAAAAGAAGTCTGTTCAGAGAATCCTGCATACAAGGGAATATGTCTTGAAAGCCTGGCAACACTGCCTAGAAAGTTTCTATTAACAAGCATCTTTGGATTGGTCCTGCCTATCTAAACATCTTTGGACACAAGCACCGTGACGTACAGAAAATTTTTGGTATTTATGAAGCAACTCTTACTTGTCTAATCAGCTGTTTCTTCTTCTCTTCATTCTGTTCATCACGGCCCTGGAGATCTCGATCAAACTGCGCCTTCATGGCCTGTTGGTTCACTTCTAGCCGCAGTTTGGCATCCTCTGTGGCCTGGAGTTCATCCTCCAGCTCTTCCAGCTGTGTCTTCATCTCCTCCACCTGCTGCTCCAGGGCTCGCTTAGCCTTCTCCAGCTCATGGACCTATAGCACATCAGTACACATTAGGTTTCCTCAAAGAATGAAGGTAGTTTCACCTATCTTAAGAGCAAAAGATTCTGGGAAAAGCCACGCACACAAGACAGAATAGAAGGACACTACACCTGGTTCTTGTATTGGCAAGTGTAGCGATACCCCCAAAGTCAACTGATCACATACTTCTGAGCTGTCTCTGTGAATCTTGCTTACTTTTTAGCTCTGGTAATATACATGGGGGAAATGAGGAAAGAAAGCATTTTTCAGCCAAACCCTGACCTACAGAAGACTTATCAGAGCTGGATACCTCTGATTCTGACAGAAGGCATGAAAAAAAAATCCTTTGATTTTTTTTTTTTCTCTCCTGCTTGTAACAATCTTTTGTGTTTTGGAATTCTTGGGTTACTATTTCCCATTGTCTAGATACTCCTTGATATTTTACTCACAAAGCTTACATCATGCCCTTTCCCCTTCTGCAACTACACCAGGTAGGCTTTATTTCAACCCATCTTTCATGGTCATGCAGTAACAGAAACATTGCAACACTACTAAAACCCATAATGTTTTCAGTTTTACTGGCTACATTCATCTGTATGTTCACACTGGTAGAGGCTTTTTGCATTATTTGCTAACAGTATCACCTGTCTGCCATTTCCTGCCCTAGTGTTTTAATTTCAGACTTACACTTTTCCCAACATCATCCTTTGAACTCATCAGGTCTTCCATCTCCGCGCGGAACTGCTTATTGACTCGTTCCAGCTCAGCCTTCTCCTCTATGGCTTCTTCCAGGGCTCTGGCCAGCGACAGGGCCTTAGTCTCCTTCTCACGGGCTTCTGCCTCAGCGCGGTCCCGTTCTTCTGCATACTTGGCAGAGATGTTCTTCTCCTCTGCCAAAAGCTACAAGAGTACAGCATTGGCATTCTGAGAAATCACCAATAGCTCTTGACAAGCTAAACATGCATCTTTTATGTCAGTGCCTTCTCAGTAGCATTCGGCTTTGGTATGAGGAACTAAGAAAACACAACTTCAAAGAACAACGCGTGTCACCCACAGCAAGAAACTTCATAGGCATGGAACAGAATGCTCAATGGCAATTTGTTTCTCTGCCTTGTATGCCATGCCTCCATTCACAAAGTAGTATGAATTCTTCATGCATCAGCACTTAGATATTCTAATGGGCAGAACTGGCAAGGAAGATGCAGCTACTTAACTTGCTCTAAACCATACCTGATCAAACTTCTTCTGCTTCTTCTCCAGATTGGAAACTGTCTGCCGCTGATGATCCAGGTCCACAGTGATGTCATCCAGCTCTTGCTGCAGGCGGGTCTTTGTTTTTTCCAGCTTGTCATATGCAGCTGCCTTCTCCTCATAACGTTGGCTCAAGCTCTCCAGGTCCTTCTGCAACTTCTTCCTGCCTTCCTCTGCTAATTCAAGGCAGCCCAGACCATCATCCACTTTCTTCTTTGCATCTATTGCCTGAAGGACAGACATCACAGGTGAAGCCAAGCCACACAATCAGCACTGCTTACTGGCACCAGAGTTGCTGAGGAAGTATGTATGCTCAGTTCTGCAGCAACTGCTTCAGTCAGACTTAGAAACAGTGGGATAAATACAATAACATTATTTTGGAATAGTGCTGTCTCTATGAATTCCTACAGGAGTTCCTGGTTAGAAATCTAAATGTATGTGCTATAATTATCAGGGGCCTAATCATTTTCTCCCACCCAGGTCATTAGGATCAGCCTTTCTCAGGAAAGGTTCTGTTTCTAGAAGTCAATTCTGCATTTAGTTTTTACTTTCTTCAAGCCAAACGTAGACCTTAATGCTTCCTCTTAACAATCTGGCTTGAGATACAGATTCTGTACCTGTTGCTGAAGAATGGAGATCTGTTTCTCCAGGTTTCTCTTTGCCTCTTCCTCTTCTTCCAGCTGCTCTTTGAAACTATTCTTCTCATCCTCCATCTGCTTCAGCTTAGTGCTGAGACTCAGTTTTTGGCGGGTTTCCTCCTGCAGCAGCTCCTATAAAACAAGCACCCCAGGGGAATTCAATACCTTTCCTTCACATTAAAGACTAAAAATCCTCACCCATTCCCTCCAGGATGAAGGCTTTTGAAATTAAGCACACAAATTATTTCACAGATAAGCCACAGCATACACGAACCAAATATCCAGAGGGTCCTATTCTCTATCGCACTCTGATGACCACAGCGTGCGTCTTCGCTACATAAATACTATCCCCTGCTTCTCCATGCAGCCACCTCACAGTTCCATTCTTTCTGGAGCCCTCTTCTGAGTTGCACACAAAGCACTAAAACTTCTCCAAATGATAGCATGACTCTATTTGCCATGTCACTATTCAGGTATCAAAGAAGCAGGCAACAGGCTGAAGTGATTTAGCACAGTTAGTAGCAACTATTGCTCTTCTCAGCTGAAGAATTCTAGAGTTCTTAATGGAATTTAAGACACTGCCATTCACCAGCTCAGGCCGGCAGCAACATTTATTAGCTTTGTACTGAATGTACTGAATTGTACTGAATGACCTACGGCAATCAGCAAGTCCAGCTTTTAAACCAATGCGTAATTTTTGTATTGTGCATTATCTTTGACTCCGCATTTTGAAAAACAGCCTGAGTAGGCAGAACATCAATGGCAGTTCAAAGCTGCTTTGTACCTGAGCCCCCATTCCAAGTATTCTGCTTGGTACTCAGTACTTGTCCAAAAGCCTCAGTTCTAGTAAATGGACATATAAGCATATAACATATAAGACTAAACAACATTTTTCCCAGGAGGGTGAGCAGAGGCAGAAGCAGATTTTTTGAATCTACCCCTTTTCCTTTACTTGAGTCTGCCCATTGTCAAATAAATTTCTGAAGTTAAAGAAGGCTTTATTCAAAGTGACAAAAAAGCTTGTAGGTTGACTATAATAATCTCAAACAAGAACCTAGCACTGCAGTTTGCTTCTAGCATTAAACAACTCATAAGTAGAAAGCCAACTGGGGAGGACTTAAGATATCTAAGACGGGGAAAATTCCATATGATCTGCATACTGAGGAAGCAGGAGGAAGATACATGCAGGAGAGCACCTTAGCTACAGAGCCAGACCTAATCCTTACCAGTCTTTAGAACCTGCATTTAATGATGTCCACAGTGCTTTCTCACTTTAAGCATTTGTAAGAGACACTTGATACAACACACAAAGATGTCTTAGCTTCCAAAGCTCTCACCTGTGCATCCTGAAGCTGTGACTCCAGAGCAGAGAAGTCCTTTGCTAATTTGATTGATTTGCTGTCAGACTGGTTCAGAAGGCCTGTGACATTGTCCAGCTCAACCTGAAGGAGAGACCAGTGTATGTCAGTTATTAATGACCTTCTCTCCAACCTTGGGCTGAAAAATAAGCTAAAACACTTGCCACTCACCTGCAGTTTGTTGACCCTCTCTGCCAGTTCTGTCTTTACTCTTTCACCTTCCGTAAATTTCACCTGCAGTTCTTGGAGCTGGGCATCGACTTTTTTCCGCTTGTGCTCAGCATCCCCTTTGCCCTGCAGCAGCACCTTCACCTCATTGGACAGCTCTGCCCTCTCGCTTTCCAGGGCTTGTTTTGCTTTTTCAAGATTTGCTTTCACCTGGAGGAGGGAAAAAGAAAAAACAACAAATTTTAGATATGGCATGATATTTTTGTGTTTTTATTCCAAAAAGCAAGCTAACAGTGTCCATTTCACAGTTAAATCTCAAATTGCTTACACAGAAAAACTGATTTGAACAGCCAGTCATTGACAAGCAGAAGACAATTTAACAGTCGGGGAAGACATTAATAATACCAGGCACAGTCTTGTACCATCAGATTTTCAAATTAAGGGTTTCACAGGTCAGCAAGCGCTAGTAGTGGAAAGAACGAGACAGCATCATGGCTCTGTAATACATGATGCTTGATGGAAAAAAGAAAAAGAAAGCTAATTAGAAAAGCAACTGCGTATATGATTCACAGTGCAAGATGATCTACCAAGGGAGGAAGAACCCATGAATCAGAAGCCTAATGCAGGGAGTGCTTCATATTCTTCTGCAGCTTTTATCCTTGGCCACCATCCTGGAGCAACTATCACTCCAGACAGAGTGCCTGATTTGGAAACTTATGTTTCCTGCTCCAACGTACCCGTTTAGTTTGTTCCAACTGCTCTGCAAGCTCTTCAATAGCTTGTGAATGTTTCTGCCTCATCTCTTGGATTTGAGCTTCATGAGTCTTTGCCTCATCCTCAAGAGTTTTTTTCAAAACCGTTACTTCTTGCTCTCGCTTTGACCTGTAAAAGTAACAGTCTCTAGGTGCCAAGGACAGAATCAAACAGATAGACATAGCCACTAGCAGTGAACACAGCAAATGCAAAAAAAAGTCAAGGTCTACAATCTATAAGGACACTTTTCCAAATTAGAACTTAGCTTCTCAAGTTTGAAAGCATAAGGTCACATCATTATTTTCAGCCTAAGAATTAAGCAGTTTAAAAGCAATCATGTTTCAGAGGTATCATCACCACTGTGGATAGGGAACAAATTAACTTTTATACATCAAGTGGAGGAATGCAGTCTTTACTGCAGCTTGCACACTAGGTTCCTATGTAGTCACCAAAGCTGCGAACCAGTCTATTCTGATAAAGACTTGCTTTAATAAGAGACTGGATGCAGCAACATTCATTTAAAAAACAAAAGCAAGCAAATAAGACTGATTGCATCTAGATGTTGGAATTACCTGAGCTCCTGTTGAGCAGCTGTAGAATCTAGTGTGTCTTCTAGTTCTGTTTTCAGGGCCTCCAGCTCCTCCCCCAGATCCCGCTTCTGCTTTTCGGCTTTGTTCCTGAATGCTCTCTCTGATTCCAGATCTTCTTGCAGCTCAGTGATCTGGGATTCCAGCTCCCGGATCTTTTTCAGGGCCATGTTTTTCTGAGCTGCCTCCTCTTCCACCCTGTGTTCAACATAGACTTCTGGTCAGAATGAGATTTAAACCATATGTAAATTAAAACTGTATCTCCTACCAGGAATGATCAAGCAAAAATGCTGCTAAAGATCAGTTCGGCAAGACTATGTTCCAACTCTGATCCATAGACCACATAAAAACTCTAAGTTCTTTTTCCCAGAACTTGAGAAGGCAAGATTACTTACAGTATGCAGAACAGAAAGCACCATTTTACACTGGACACTTGACCAAGTAAACAAATGCAGAAACTCAAACTAACATAGAAAGAGACGGTGGCCTGTGGCTAGTTGTTAACCCCTATGAAATCTTGCTGTTCCAGTGAAATGTATGAAGTGCAATTAATATTTAGTCTAGTTCTGTATAGAGAATACAGCAGGAGGCAGCAGCCAAAGACCTCTAATGATGTGTACAGGGATCATTTAGTCAACAGACCTAAACGCAATGGCCACAAATTCCATTTGATCCTCCAAAGTAAATGACACAAGACAAGAAGAAATACTTCCTGATCTGCTGACCCCAGATGTTTGATTCTCACCTAGCTAAGGCTGCCTGTAGCTCCTCTTCCTTCTTGGCCAGCTGCATTTTGAGTTCTGCAATCTGAGCCTGCAGCTCAGCAATCTGGTCATGCAGATCACTGGAGTCTCCCTCAAGCTTTCTGCGAGTCTTTTCCAATTCTTGCCTCTGCTTCTCTTCACGTCGCAGCCGTTCTGAAAGAGACCAGAACACAGCAGATAGCAAGGATGAACATATTCCAAGAACACTGCACAAGATTTTGTAGCAGGGAAACAAAGCAATCTAAGCAATAGTATCTTATAGTATCTGAGCAGTAAAAAGTGTCCAAACAGCAGTTCGAGTGCTGTATTTTATTTTGTCAAGCATACATGCAGCTGAAACTATATTTTGTCTCAAACCAGATCTGGGCAATGCCCATCTCCTTCATCTCTCAGTCAACCCCCTTCACTGTAAAAGAATAAACAACCAGCACAATCCCAGTCCCTCCTAACCCGCACCACAGAGTCACATGCACTCACTAAACGATGCTGAGCACAAGATCCTCTCTGCCCTTACTGAAAGGGAACAAGCTGCCTCCTGCTGTGTTACCCAGGCCACTCTCAGGATGAAATGCCTCTAGCCTGAGTTATGAAAAATTTATGCAAATAGAAAATCAGAAACTGAACTAACCCTGGCAGATTGATGCCACTGGGAGTAGAAAGGTGAAGATACTTCCAAAGCAGGAAGAGAAAGAGAACCAGCCTCCCGCCTCCATTGGCCTGCTGCTTTGGACAGGATTTTTATTTAGACCAAGGGCTCAGCTGACAAGGCACATAACCTTCAGCCACCCAGAGAACAACTCTATCAAACCAATCAATAACATACACACTACATCACTAATTTTTAACCCCTTAGCAACAAGAGCAAGTCTAAAGCTCTGGAAATAGAATTGATATTCAAGAAATATTAAGAGGAAGCCATCTAACACTGTGCAAATGAGTCCCTTGCAGGATCCTTTATACCTTCCAGATCTGTGATCATGGCTTCATGTTTGTTCTTCAGTTTGGCTAAACTCTTTGATTTCTCCTCTTCTTCTGTTAGGTTGGTTGTAAATTCAGACATTCTGTCTTCCAAGAGTTTCTTTTCCTGAAGAATTTAGAAGCCAGTGTCAAAACATGTGCCAGGATTACAGGAGATTTTTCAGAGATGACCGCACTTAAAGATGTAAACATCATGACTGCCTACTTCTGCTACAAGGAAACCCGTAAGGAAAGAAATCTTTTCAAGACTCCATTCAGCATTCAAATAACTGGTTACTTAAAAATTTGTATTTGATAGTCCTTTAAGACTGAAAGGAAAGTCTGTTCATGAAGCAACTGGAGCTTGTTTGGTGTAACAATTTAACAACAAAGGCTTGCTTAAGGATTGTTATTTAGTCAAGGCTATATAAATATCATACAATACTGACTCACAAAGGACACTGGCTGGCAGTTAATTTCATAACTAAATTCAGGTCAGAGTTGCTCAATCGATTAATTCATAAGTTCTCCGTAACATGGGAAACCCCAGCCTTTGGTAGGTGGCTCCAGGAGAGCACTCTGAGCATCTTCAACTGGCATAGGGAGCTGCAAGAGTCTTACCTTGGCCAATTTGAGATTCTGGTCTTCCAAAACTATCACATCTTCTTCCAATTTCTTCAGTTTGGCCTCTGTGGTAACTTTTTCTAGCTGCAACTTCTGTCTTGCGCTTTCCTCTTCTTCAAGCTGCTCCTCTAGTTCCTTCACACACGCACACAAAAGCATGACATTTGTCAGAGCTGCTCATTGAGCAGTGTAATAGCACAATACCAACACTAGAACTTGGAGTGCATCTTTACCCTTTCTTCAAGGGAATTATCACTTTATAGAAGGGACTTTTTGCGTCATGGCAATGCACCACAGCAAGTTCTTACAATGAATTTTTCTAGAAGAATAAACAATAGTATTTTGCAAAGATTCCCACGATTTCCAAAACATCTGATTTAAGCAAGGCCGTGTCCAAATATTTGAGACGCAATCATAATTTTTCATCTTTGAGAATGGAACAGCCTATTGAAGAGGACCTTCTGAGCACCTCTGGCTCACCACCAGTGTTACTGAGTTCTATTGCTATTTCACAGGTAGAATTTCTATGCTACTTTTCCATTCTCTCCCATTTCCCTCCCAGCTCAGATAGAAGGATTGCTCTCTAACCCTTAGCATCATCTTTACTGACAATCCTAAAGCATTACCTGAATGTTCTGCTGCATTTTCTTCTTCTCAGCTTGCAGATGCTGACACCGTTCTTCCTCCTCCTCCACCCTGGACTCAAGATCATGACAGATCTCCTCTAGTTCTTGTTTTTTGGCTGTAAGGCGAGCTCTTATCTCCTCAGCCTCAGCACACAGTTCAGTTTCTGCTTGCAGTTGTTCCTGCAGCTGCATCTTCTCTGCCATTAGCTGCATTAGACACAAACCCAGAATTTGCCATAAGCTCCAATTCACCAAAGTATTTTCTGTGGTGAAATGGAGTTAACTTGCTCCTATGTTCTGCAGTTAGAATCTTAACTATGGCAGCAGCCTTCTGTTGCCAATCAAAAGCTAAATATCAGAATGTACTTAAGCATCTGTTCCCCTCTACAAATCATGCATCACAACCACATGAGATTACATTGCCTTAGCAAACTTCTAAAAATCATCCTATTCGAAACACTGAGATTAACTAATTTTCCCCCATAAACATAACATAGATTACCAGCCCTACAGAAAAACAATCCTCTCTCCAGCTTCTGTGCTTCAAGTCAAATGGATGCCATTCATGACCTGAATGAATTCAGCAGCTCTCAGTGTTACTGAGCCAAAGGAGACTTTTCTTCACATAATGGATATAGCAGTGCCATAGCTGCTCCCTGCACAAAATGACCTACCAGAAGAACCAAGCTGGAGAGAGAGGCAGAGGAAACAGAACAAGGCAGTAGCTAAGTTACAGGACCCAAGTTTTTTGATAGTGTAACCTATCTATCTGATCATTGACAAAAAGGAAGAGCCTTCAAGCAGTTGACTAAGTGAAGAAAGAGAGCATTATGCATGAGATCTGCCAATTCACCTGAGCCTGGAAGGTCTCCATCTCAGTCAGTCTGTTTTCTGCAGCTAGCTGCTTCTCCTTGACCTTCATCAGTTCTTCTTCCTTGGCCATCATCTCCTCTTCCTGCCTGCTTACTTGCAAAAGAGGTTTTACCTGCAAAGGAAACCAAAGCAATTGGACAAGTGTAAGAAAAGAAAAAACACAGAGAAACACTCGTGCATTTGATGAGCATCTGATAAAACAACACTTGATCAGCACCACATCTAATGAATGATCAGTTGTTGTGGACACTAGCAGAATCATGGAGGGCTTGATATAGTCTCCTCTGCCAGTAAGACTGCCTGCCTGCCCATCCTTTCCTTCTGGTTCGGATTCATCAGGACAATGGGCAAATTTCAGAAGCCTTGAGGAACAGACACCAAATAGCAACAGCAAGAGACTGAAAAAGTTGTTGCACACTGGGGCAGTTCACAGGAGGTCAAAGTAAATGAAATCCAAACACCAGCACATTCTCTGCTCCCATATATTTATCATATATATATATGATTTAGAGGAAAAGTCTCACTGCTATAACTATATAACTGCTATAACTAAAAAACAAGAAATTTAAAAGACTGTATTTGTATGTGTTCGCTATCTTTATATCTTTATAACGGTAAAAGATGTAAAAGTCTAATAGTAAAATCAGATTTTAGTGCTTTCCTTTCGCTCTTACAGATCCAGAGGAAAAGATAACCCTCTCCCATCTAAACAAGCTCTGTCTTACAAAACTAACTCTTTGAAAAGTCTAGCAAGCAGCTTTTCAAAGTGCCGTCATCAAAGCAAGCCATTTTTTCTAGACATAAGGTACTAAATGATGCTTTTCCACAGCATTAATTGCACATAGCCTTGCACTTGGAGCTGTGATATTATGATATTCTCCACCTAAACAAATCAAATGAGTAGGTGCAAGCCAGGTCTGCTCCAAAGAAAGCATTCTTTACTCTGTTTCAGGATAAGAAGCTAAAAATGCAACCATGGATACTTTGCCAAAATTGCAAAGGGAAAACAGTACCTTGGTGAACAACCTCCACCACTGCCAGTTTCTCAGTTTTAAATAGGCAGCACAGTTTCTCTGAAGCACTTTCATGGCTGTCAATTGCTGCTGGCGCTTGGCAAAGGCTCTGTAAAAGAAGTGGAGGTCAGACAACAAAGAAAGCCCCATTTGCACACAATTTTCTCCATCAAATCCTTTCATAGATATCTGTGAATTTTATTCTTAGAAGGTCACCTCCTAAAAATCAGAGCAAAATTTCAAGTGAATGTCCTTTAGCCTTTTAAGTCTTTTACTGCTCAGATAAGGCTGGTTATCTCTTCCTTTATTCACTTTCTTCTTTATTTAATAATGCTTTTCCCTAATGTCTTCTAATCTGGAAAGCCTCACTGTGTATTATTTCACACAAGATGATCCAAAACAGAGGTATATATTCCTGACAGTCAATTTGACAGGTACTTCTGTTGTTTTTAGGATGTGCCATTTGCAGTCCTACTTTTAAGGAGACACTACATCTCCTTTAAGAGAAAGATGTTTGAGAGAGATACTACATCTCCCAGTCAGCATTGTACTAAGACCTTTTTATTTTCACTAGTGCAGTTTGCAGCTCTTCCATGCAAAAGCCTTGACTGTAATACAGAGTTCCTACAGAGAGGAACAGGCTCACGGCCCTCGTAGTGCATGGGTAGCAGTACACAATTCTTCTGCAGGTACATGAAGCCAAGCATTGCAGATATCAGAAAAGTCTAGAACAACTATCAGTTGTTACACACAAAGAATAAATCATAGCCCTTCTGAAATAGTATTAAAAATAAAAAATCACTGCTAGACACCTTGTTTTTAAAAAAACTTGTACCTTAATGAGAGGAGAAAGCATGCGTATATTTATCAAAACGCATCCTGGATGCCACCCTGTGCCACATGCTCTAGGTGTCCCTGCTCGAGCTGGGGGGTTGGACTAAATGATCTCTAGAGGTCACTTCCAACCTCAACCATTCTGTGATTCTGTGACTATAGAATATGGTCCTTACTTTCTTGCCAGGTAGCCTCTGCAGCATGCTTGGAAGCCAATAATGACATCTGTGATCTTCAGGTCTCTCTCTTCTTCAAGATGAGCAAGGACTCCAGCTCTGAAAAATACTTTGCTCTGCCCAATTCGATAAAGGTTGGAATCCAGCTCTAATGCTTTGATCTAAAATGAGAGAAAGAAAAGAATATAATTCATACAAAGAGTGCTTCATATGAAGCACCACAAAATTTATCAGTCTCTCATAATACCCCTTAGGTCCCAAAAGGACCCTGTCCCAGTTAGAGCAGCTGGGGTTCACTCAAGCACAGCAGGAGACAGAGGCAGCAAAGGACAGAAAATATGATAGAAAGTGTTGTTTAATGCAGCATCACATCAAGTACTCAGAACTACAAGGCTACTCTGAGAAACACGCATCTGGTCTCAACTGCCTCAGCCATCTTTTTCCTTTCCTAATGGGAAAAACAGCTGTTGATCCTATTTATTTTTTCCTTTCCTTTGCCAGAAAGAGCACCCCAGCCAGTTTTCCCTTCATTTAAAGGATTTGCTGTCAATACTTATACTAGTTAAGAGGAAGAAGGTATACTCCGTTGAGACAGGATAAAAAAGAACCCCTTACAGACAATTTCAATTCAGCTTCTTTAAGTCATAAAGCAAGAGCTTTCCTTTCAAAGGAAGCAATTCTGCAGAAATTAACTGCAGCCTTCACTGAAAGTGAAGTCATCAAGTCATCAGCAGACCATTCCTAAGAGCTTGCCTTGAAACCCATACTTCAAGCATGCACCACAGACAATGCTAATGCCTCTAAACATTTTGATTCTGTTAGTACTGCTAGCATTTCAAAGTGTACACATCTGTGAAAAATGAAAGACACTGTCTAGTGTTACTGAACCTCATACTAGCCAATTGCCTACAACTGTGAAGCCACGACACACCTTTTGGCATCCTCCTTCTCCCTGACAAAACATTGAAGTTTGGAGTTTCGGTCTGCAAGTATGAGATATATTTAAAATGTCTATGGAATGCATGACTTGGATTTTCCCAGCATTTCCATAAAATTTATTCAAATAGAGCATATGGGATGTCTTACCATCAGCACACAAGCCTGTTTTCCATCCATAAATCCTTTGGGAATTGCATTTGGAGTTAAGATTTCATATCTGAAGAGAACAAAGCATTAGACTAGTTAGACAGGGATATCCAAAAATTTTCAGTAATTAACTTCTATGGCATTTTGAGTTTCTGCTATTGTTGAAAGATTAAAAAAAGTTTTCTCTCTAGATAGCAGAGTAAGAAGTCTTAGGTGATGTCCTCTACCCCTCATCCTAAGCAGATGTTAACCAGAGAAAAAAATCACAGATGCTCTTGGAGATTTGGGGCCAGGGATTAGGAAGAGACTAATGTTCTACATCATTGACTTCTAAAAAAGTGGCAAATAAGTTTTAATAAAATATTTCAGTTACTGAACCTATGCCTGAATTTTGCCAGGTTAAAGACTGCTTCAGCCTCTTTTCAAGGCTATACCTTTGTCTGAATTCCTGGAAGACGACTCTGTTGGGGAAACCCTGACGACAGATACGGATTCCCTCCAGCACCCCATTACAGCGAAGTTGATCGAGGACCAAATGGGGGTCCAATTTGCCAGCCTAGAGAAGAAAAGCAGATTTTTAATTTGTATAAGTAACATATAGCATTTACGTGAAAAGCTTACCCCTATATCCCCACTTTTATTTATATGTTTTCAAAGCAGCAAGGTCCCAACCTTTCCGCAGAGTCACAGAATGATTAAGGTTGGAAGCAGAGTCACCTAAAGCGTGTTGCCCAGGATCATGTCAAGGCAAATTTTTAGTATCTCCAGAGAAGGAGACTCCACAATCTCTATGGGCAACCTGTTCCAGTGCTTCGCCACCCTCACACTGAAGAAGCTTCTCCCCAAATTCGGGTGAGATTTCCTGTGCTTCAGTTCATGGCCATTGTCTCTTGTCCTACTGCTGACCACAACTGAGAAAAAAGTCTGTCCCCCTCTCTCAAGGTATTTACACATATTGGTAAGATCACCTCTCAGCCTTCTCTTCTTTAGGTTGAACAGGCCTGGCTCTCTTAGCGTCCCCTCATAGGGCAGAAACTCTAGTCGCTGATCATTTTTGTAGCTCTACAATGCACCCTTCTCCAGTAGCTCCATGTTTCTCTTGTACTGGGGAGCCCAAAACTGCACATAGCACTCCAGTTGTGCCTCACCAGGACTGAGTAGCAGGGAAGAATCATCTCCCTCGACCTCCTGGCAACACTCTTCCTAGTGCCCCCCAGGGTCCCATTGGTCTTCTAGGCCACAAGACCACATTACTGTCTTATGTTCATCTTGTTGTACACTGGGTCACCCAGGTACTGCTCTGCAGAGCAGCCCTCCAGAAGGTCAACCCCACACCTATACTGGTGCATGGGATTATTCTTCCCTTGGTGCAGGACCCTGCACTTCCCTTTGTTGACCTCCATGAGGTTCCTCTCCACCCTACTCTCCAGGATTGGACCCAATACTGACTGCTAAGGGACACCATTAGCTACAGACCTCAGTGAGAATGAAGCAAAGGTTCTTATGTCATCATCTTAAGAAGAACTCAGTCTCAAAAATTCCAGCAAGTATTACTTAGGATGATCATATGCATATGCTGAGATGTTGCTGCCTTTACCTTTTTCTCATGGTTGGGGATGATGCAACGGACAAAGTTGGGGTTGGTGTTCCTTAAGGTAGCCATCAGTTTGGCCAGCTGTTCCTTGTAGAGCTGTCCCACTGTTCGGAACATACCCTTCCTGGTTTTAAAGGCTCCTGGCAAGGCTGTATCTGACATGCCAGCCACTTGATCCAGTCCAACAATACGATCAACTAGAGAGAGCACAAGAAAGAACATTAAAATTCTGCCACAACCAGTGGACATTTTGGAATGTACAAAGAACATCTGGGTAGAACAGGATAAATGAGAGGCGCTGCAGGATCCTTTTTGCTTCATCTCTACACAGATGTCGACTCCTGTATAGTATTTGTGCAGGGATAGGAGCAGGAAGGAGGAAAAGGATAAAAATAAAAAGAAAGCAACGGCTCACTACAGAAGGTTTGAGTGATGGAGTCAAACTTACTCCCAAACATACTCTGCTGATACTCAGGAGGGCAGCTCTGGAAGAGTAGTTTAGAAGTGGCATAATAAGTTTCAGATGCTTGCTTAGGTTGCAATGAAAAAAATGAGAAACCAAGAGTTCTAGCTGCTAGCCCAGAAGAGTCAACTCTTAGTTAACTCTAATCCAAACAGGGCCACAGTTAGAAAAAAAGCCCAGTTTGACTCTTGCATTACACATAGGAAGAACTGCCATGACTGGCAATTAGAAAAGTCATATCTACTTGTAAACTGAGCAAACATGGTATGAAGTTGTGACAGACACCAGATTTTAAGATACCACTGTTTGAACTATCTTTGGAATACAAGTACTCTATGACTTTGAGACTAGACACTTACATTAACACTGCCACTGGGAGAAAGCCTGAAAACTCTGCCCCAACAGTTTTCTACACTGTGCCACAGTGCCATCCCAGCACTTACAAAGCAATCATCTTGACTGGTGGACTCCACATACACATTCCCCCCAGTAAAAGATAACTAGATCTGAAAGTAGCAGGGGCAAGAAGACACTAAAATATTCTTTTTTTCCTTTCCTCATTGTTTTGCAAAACTGAGACAAAAACTCATCCAACGAACCAAGAAAAAGCCATATCCCTACAAATCCCCACACTCCTGAACACAATTTTCCTTAAGGACTTCAAGCTACTAGTTCCCTTTAATCTTTAGTGGTTGCTCACTCTCAGGCTCCCTATCTTCACTTCACAAAATAATAACTGATTTCTGATTGAAAACAAATTCCATCAAGAGAAGCCCCTACAAAAGAAGAAACAATAAGAGAGACACATATTTATACAGAACATTACTTTACAACTGCGCGCTTCCAAAGCAACTATTAGAATAGGGCCACGGTTGTCTTATCAGAAAGAAAGGAAGGTTCTGTTACTAGATGACATCACAGGGAAATCCACAGAAGAGTGTCCCAGGTTCTAGTTGGAACAGTCCTCTTAAAATCTTGAGCCCTGTGGTCTACATCAAGACAGCAAAAAAAAAGACAGTTGCTTGCAACAGAAGATTCAGTTAAGAACAGTACATGAGAACTCATCAGCTGTGCTCTAGCTGACTTGTGAAATCCAAAAGGATTTTGCAGCCTCACATAGCAAATGCCTTGTTAGGCACAAGTTGTCATTTTTCATGCTGTAGAAGTTACTTTGCCAAACTAACTTTCTTTTAAAATGATCAGCTGCTGAAGTCAAACCTCATCACTAGAATCACTATAATCAGTATTCAATTTAACTTCAGTTTAAATGCAGTCTCGGGAATCTGCCTTCCAACGTTTGCAATGAAACACCTTGAAAGCCTTGCTTGCTCTATATTCAAACGGTTGACAGGTATTTGCTTTTAGCTGTTCCTATGCAACTCTTGCAAGAGCATCATTAGCACCCGAATGTATCCATATTTTTCACGTATCCACTTGCAAGGTGAGAGTTTGGCTTTTGTTTTTAAGTCCATGAGGAACTACTAGCACAAAGCAGAGGAAATGAACAAGAAAGACAAGCAGGTATAGCAAGGGGACAGAGAAGTTAACGGAAGCATGTCTTGCATGGTTCTAGGATGCATTACACACATGACACGACAGCTGGGTTTCTCAGTCACCTGGTTCTAGATGAAGAATAGGAAAGTGTTGATAGAAATAGGCTCTCTGAACGTTCTGCATCTCTGCAACAGACAGAGACGTCAAAGAAAACCCAAGACAGAAAGTGACAGCAACAGTAAGACTCAAAAGCAGATAAACCCAGAGAAGAAAGAGTAAAATATCAAACAACACTGCAGCAAGAGCACACTAGTTGCAGGACTAAAAGCCTAGGTTCAACCTCAGATCTTGTGTTCGAGCGCTGCAGCTATAAGCCAGTTGCTGGGACATAATGGTACATTCATGTTTTAGCCTGCTGCTCTTGGTTTGGAGAAATAATTGCTGTATTAGTAGCAGGCTAAACAGAAGTCAATGCATGTGAACCCTTCTCTTGAGTTACAGTAAATTTTTAATACAATACCATGTATTTTCTAAACAAAGAAAGATCCAGACAAGGCTCATCTTGGTGGTTTAGTCTACACGTAATAATGATTTTTACAGACTTTTGATGATCAAATAAAATTCTTCCATGTAAAACAAAAAGAAGAAAAAGGATTAATAACATACCATCTTTCCACAGCTCAGACACAAACTTATCCGATGACTGGTGCAGAAGAGTAGCAATGTTGTCATTCAGCGGATCCATGTTCTTCATCAGCCACTCATCTGCTTTATAATCCACCTAGAGAAAACAAACATGTCAAGAAACGAGGGAGGATTTTCTGAAGTACAGAATGCAACAAGATCCTGCAAGGCTAAAAAATGAAACACTGAGGTTTTCACAAGCAACAACAGATTATCAAATCATTCTTGGATTTGCCTTTCAAAGACATCTATGCAAGCATAGCTGCACATTCCATATCCTAACAAACAGTTACAGAGTCTATTCTGTCTATAAAAGGAACGGATACGTAGTATCAGCATGCACCATTCCGAGTATGACAAAAAAAACACTGCTCCATCACTTTTGGTGATGAGGTCTTCATGCAAGCTGTCAGAAGTATCTCCAGTTTTCACCAAGTTACAGAGAATAAATTTAAAGTGATCGCAACCTGACATGTCTTCAGCTATATGTATAACCAGTACCTTACAGACAAGTTACCTAGGCTGCACAGGCACCCACAGTGGTGGGAAAAAAAAAAATCCTCTGTAATGTCTCCTACTGGTTTCCCCTGGTCTCCCATAGGTCATCAGTCATACTGGGAATTAAACATTATTTAAGAAACAACAGTTATGCATCAAAAACATAACAGATGTTATGAATATTCATCTTTTAACTACTAATCTTTTACCTTGCCAGCATAATGTATGATACAGAAATCAGCTTTGTCTTTCAGCTGCTTTGGTTTCTGGAATTTGGGATGGGTGCCTTGCTCTTGTACAACCTTTTCCACAAAGCTTTTGTCTGTTGCTTTTGGGAACCAGCACTCTTCATCCAGCAGCGCCAGAATACCAGGAGGCCCAGCCTTCAAGCAGGGAAACATGAAAACAGCATTAATACATTATTAATAGCTTTAGACAGCTAGGAAAAAAAAAAAGGCAAATCTGATCCCCTATCGTATCAGTTTAGCTACTTTTGAACTAATAGAAAATGCAAATAAGCCTCCAAGATCTGCATTTGGATTCTGAACATAAACATAATTCTGAACATCCTCCTATGAAGAAGGTCTCTTTCATGACAGCATGTGTCTTAGAATAAAAAAAAACCCTCCCCAACTTTTTAATAAAAGGAGTACTATCACTCAGTTCTCCAGACATACGGAAGTGTCTGTATAAGTAGAGAGACCATAGCAGTATATGTCCCGTATTAGTCCTTACTATCTGAACAACTACTGTGAAATATGGACTTCTAAGCTTCCTTAGAGCAAAACGAAAGCACTGGAGGTTTATGGTTCCTCATGGCATTTGCAGGCCACTAAGGTAGTTTTCACCGCTTATGCTAAGCTACAGATAGGCACCTAGCAGCAGTTCTGCACCTAGCTCTACACAGACATAAACAAAGCAAGACAAAATAGGGACAAGACCAAATGGTCAACTAGGTGATCTACATTCACACAGTATGTCCTACAAGAGGGATACTAAGAAATTCACTGGGCCTGTATAGTTGCAGACAAGGGAAAAACTGATCATTTCTAAGAAACCACTTTGTCAGTAGAGGAGGGGAAACTAGCTTTCTCGCTTTTGTAATCTACCTCATATGCTTGATGGCAAAATAAACACAGCCATTTTTTGCTACCTGAGTGTAGGAGAAGGCAGCTTCTTACCGGCTTTTCTATGAGATCAATGCAGGGCTGAAGATCCAGACCAAAGTCAATGAAATTCCATTCTATGCCCTCCCTTTGGTACTCCTCTTGCTCCAGAATGAACATGGTGTGGTTGAAGAGCTGCTGCAACTTTTCATTTGTGTAATTAATACACAACTGCTCAAAGGAGTTCAGCTATTGAAGAAAAAGATAGAGGATATTTCAACAGTTGCTTTTGAAGATGTATGTACTATTCTGTTAGCACTAACGATCACATTTGTAGCTGAGGAATTCTGAAGTGTTCTGTGTAATCCCTGAGGTAAACAGCACTTTGCACACAACCCCTTTTGCTTATGAACTGCATTTCCCATCACAGGTAACTACATCACCGCTACAGCTCCTGTGGGAGTTCATATTCACTGCTCCTCAGAATTTGCAAAAGAATGTTTAGTCGTAAACAACAGAAGAATTACTGCAGCTACTTAACCAGGGATCAGAAAACTCCCTGGTTTTCTCTCAAACTCTAAACTAATAGGTACTTAAGGACAGATTTCTAAGCACTGCTTTAATTCCCATATATTCCTCCCCTCACAGGGGAAGGGAAGTCCAGGAAGCTGCTTGCTCAAAACCTTCAGGTTTCTTCAAACTCCAGGGACAAGACTAATAACCAAGGATGCATCTTCATGCTAGACTACACTGGATATAATGCAGGTGCTGCAGGAAATGGTCCTGCTTTTACTTCCTCCACGTCTTTGTCAATCTTAACTACGTATTTCCAGTCTCTTCCTTTTCATGAGGTGCAACATCCATGGAACCAAGGGTGCAGTTAGACCACTAACCTGACCAGAGAGAACCACAGTGAATTTTCCTATAGGTTTGTTTTCAATTTCATGTATGAATGGTTCCAATTCACCTTTAGCTGCACAACTCAGGTGATAGGAGTTGACTGTCTGGGATCGATGGGGATGAGAGGATAGTTCTTTTCTTAGGGCAGCCTCTGGTTCCTCCAGACCAAGTATAACGGGAAGTCACATTCCCAAACTGTAGTTTCAGGAGGCAAGGATTTGCTCTAACAATTCACTGCTGTCTACAGAGGGAGCTCCCACTTCCCTTTTTTTTCATCTCTATTTTTCCCCTAAGCTCTTCAGCTCATTTCTCTTGCTACTTTTTTTATGCTCAAACTCCCCTCTATAGACTGACTAAATTACAAGCTACTCAAAGAAAAATGTTTTTTAGGACTTGTGAGTTGAATGGCATAAGGAGCTTACAGTGCTGTGGCCAGAAAAGACTGAGGGGAAAAGGAGCAAGAGCTTTTCCAAATCAAGGAGCTCTTAAATCAGTTTAGCCATTTGTGAAATTACACTCCTTCTTGATCCTGTCTCATAAAATGCAGTTGGCAGAAAGGAGCATACACAGGTCAGAACGTGTTTTGAATCTGATTTGATCTACCCTTTGTCTTTTCCAAAATCCATCAGCAAGAAAATAAAAAGTCATTAGAAACACTTTTTGCAATGCTAAAAGGTTACAGAGAACCATACTTTGAATGCTTTGAGGCAGACTAATCAGACATGAAATATTACGTCCAGTTGTGACCCATAACTCCACATGGTATTTGAAGACTTTTTTTCTGTAGGATAACAAACATTTAGACCCTCTAGGATAGTGAATCAAGAAGAGACAGAACTATAAAGTTAAAATATTTGTGATGCACATGCCCAAAGCGTTGTAAGCACCGGAACATAAAGCAATGAGAAAAAAACATTTCAGAATACATAAAATACTAGAGAACAAAGCCCTTTGACATATTATTTAATAACTTATCTGATCTCAAATTCAAAAGTGAAATGCACATTTTTTGCAAAATCATTCTACTCTTTCCAGATTTTAAGTGATTTTCTTCTGTGGTCTTTGCTTTGTAGCAAACTGTGCAGACAAGAAGAATCAGCTACCACCTTACCTCAAAAATCTCAAAGCCTGCAATGTCAAGGATTCCAATGAACGACGCACCCTGGCGCTTGGTCTTATCCAGGGCCTTGTTGATCCGCATAACCAGCCACCGGAACATCCGCTCATAGGTGGCTTTAGCCAGAGCCTCAATGGCAAAGTCAGCCTGGAAAAAGTGACAAGAAAAAAAAAAAAAAAAAAAAAAGAGAGGTGCTTTAGAGTCCAGAGCACGCTGCTTTGGTGCCAACAGCACAGCTATAGCCTCCTCTTTACTTCACCTGACTCCCTGAAAAAGGCTCATTTCGAAGATTAGTCACAGTGAAAAGCAGATAGCTCAGCAATATTCCATAAACAGAAGCAAAGAATTTGCCATGTTAAATTAGTGTGTCAGTGCCAAATTTCACGATCTTGCTTGTTGAAGAAGCCAATGACTGGTAGTTAAGAAATAAAACAATATCCAGTCCCTCCAAAGCCTAGAGCTTCGTAGTATTTTTTTTAAGGGGTTCAAAGAAAAGCATTACCTTTTTTTTTTTTGTAATTTAGGATTTGTGAAGCCTGACTTATTTTCCTTATTGCCACTACTCATGATTGATACAGAAATACTACACGGTAAGGAAAAGAGTATCAAAATGGAAATGCAGACTGTGACTGTCTCTAGATCTCATCTGGTATTCTCTTTCCATTTCTTTCCATGTTATGGGGGCATGTTTATGAACGCAGAGAATAAGATTGTGTTTGTGAAGAAGCCACATAGAAAGAAGTTCTACTCAGACAGTAATATGAGAGTTTTACCCCACACAGAAGACAACAACCGCCTGGGTTGGGTTTTATTTACAGCACATTCATCACTGCCCACTTCAAGAATATTAAGAAACGTATGATCAGCTTCAAGGCCAAGTGGCGAGTTCTTTTACTGCAGCAGCTGACCTACTCAAAAACTGCTTCCTGTTTTACAGCAACTTGGAAATGTCATTGCTGCATCGAGCATTAAAGAAACTTTCTCCCCAGAAGTCGACAAAATTAAATGAGTGACATTCTTATTTTCTTCAGATGAGAAGTGCAAGTAAAGAGTAATGTCTATCTCTATATAGAACAAGCAAGCAAATACTACAAGTAATTTCCATTGTATGTTATTCAAGTATGGTTCCATATACTGCAGCCAAAAAAAAAAAAACCCAAAAACGATAAAGGCTACAGAAACCTTTAACAGACCTGTCAAGTTTTAATCTTGCTGCCACAAAGCTGAGTACTCATTCACTTTTACAGAATACCTACCTGTTCTTTGGTCTGAGCCTTCTGGACATAATCTCGTCCAACCTTGATGCGAGGGGTCAGGATACCTCTAGTGAAATCCGTCACATTGATACCCAAAAGATGAGACACTTTCTGAGCAGCTAAGGAAGAAAAGAGGATACAACAAGATTAGTGTTCCTTTGTTTTTCTTCACAGAAAGCCCGAGAAATTCCTGCAACTGCATTCCTAGTCATGAAACAGCTTCTAAGAAACATTAAGTGAAAAGCAGGTTAATAAGATGAAGCAAGATACCTTCAAAAACAAAATAAAACACACCGAACAAAAAATCTACAATCCATACTAAAAGATATTGAGCTTCTTAGTAGCCACAGCAATAAATTTGATGCAATAATCTTGTACCATGAAGTCATAACATGGAAGCTTCAAAAAGTTAACAGTAGTCTGCCATCAGTTTAAAAATACTGCTGAATAACCGACTCCTTATTCAAGCTAATTGTTCTGTCTTCATCTGCTGATTTGAGGCAACTCTATTTCAGATGAATGGTCCAAAATCAGCCTGCCTATTCTCCCTGCTAAAACATCATTTAAAGCATTATTTCCAAGATAATAATAGCTAAAATTATAATCACACTTGCAGAGAAATTAGCAACCTCTTATCATATTTCTTCAGTACATCTATAATGAAACTCTAAGAGATAAGCCACAGTAGTGACAGTAGTATTTACACATCTAACAATGAGCAGTGCAATTAAAATATGTAGGTATGGTTTATACCCACCACCAATCTATACATCTTACTCTTACAGTTACAAGCCTATATACAGAGTTATTGAAGAATATTTGCTTTAAGTCTTGAAGCAAGTCTGATAATACAGGCTTGTAGGAGCCATCATTTCTACCCTGGATAAAATACACACATATTCCAGTTGAATAGCCCTTTTAATTTGGCCATGGCGTGTATTTCCTGACTAGTTTTGACACAAGAGCAGTGTCACATTCCTACCCATGGGTGGCTGCAAACACACACTGACAAAACAATGCACATACTTGCATCTATAGGAAGGAGCACTTGCAATCCTCAGAAAAAAAATTATCTTAAAAAAAATATGCTCCCACACACAAACCACTCCAACATTCCCTACATATTGTAACACATTCTTCTACCTAAAACAATTTCTGGTAGGCTTTTTTCTCCCTGAAATTTCTGTGGGTTTGCCTTTGGGGCGGAGTGTGGTGGGGAGGAGCCTGGTTACCTGTGTTGTCTGGCATGGAGGCTTGGTCTGTGTTGCGCTCTTTCTTGAAGACAATGTTGCCAAGTTGAAGAACGCCTGAGATAACCTTCAGCAAACCTTTTAAAACAGAAGATGCTCAGGGTCAGCCACCACCATAGGTTCAAGCCCTGTCAGGCACGGTAAGAGTAGCACGTGCTGACACTTTATGCTTAATGACCATAGACTTTAAATGAGAACGTGACAATGACTGGATGATGGGGACTGTCCTGAAATTCAAGCCTTTCTCAACATCGCCAAAACTGATCTGGAATTTAGGGAAAAACCATTACAGATAAACAAATAGCTTCTCTGTGAGACCACTGTTCAGGATATAGGATTTGCCCAGTGCCCCTCACCATGCAAGACTAGGGAGTCCGGGAATTTAAGTCCTTCTCACCCCCACTGCAAAAGAGCAGAAGGCAGGACCCAGGGTCACATCCCGTCCTGTAACATCCACACATTTTGATAAAAATCTTTTTTGTGTGTCCTTAAGGTCCTTTTGAACACATGGAAGAGCAAGTTAATAAGAGCACAAAGCATTCAAAGTAGGTAGATTTTATTCCTTTAATCCCATATCATTTTCAGTTCCCTGATGAAGATCTGTGGTCACTACAGTTTATGAAGGACAGCAGGCCATGAACCAAAGTGCCTATACTATAACTAACTATAACTTCTGCTAATGACATAGCAAAATGACCTGCCCACTGCTAATGATGTATTCAAATACTTCAAATGGTGAACCTTGCAAAGGCAGTATCAGATGCTAAGACTAGAATAAAGTTTTAAATACTATAGCATAAATTTTCCATTGCATTTGTATATGAACTATCAAGGTCCCTTTGATTAAAAAAAAATTCAACATCCAGCAGAGTGAACAAGAGCTGTACAAATGCTACTTTAGGACTGACAGAAAAGAAACACATGTGCTCCTAGTGGCATTCACCTCCATACAGTAGTTTCAGAGGGAATTCTTGCATGCGTTATTGATAAGCTGAATAAAGAGCCCTTCGACTGGGAACAAAATAAGCAGAGGCATGTCTCCATTGGCTGTTTAACTTCTAAGGCTAAATGTAATAGGTGAAACTATGCTGGAAAATCCTGAGACCGATAGCTCCAATGCCACTAAATTTACCATTTGCACACTGTTCACTATGTGGGATTTTTTGGGTCTAGAGCTCAACTGCACTTTAGATATGTCTATTCCCTCTTTCTATTCCTTGCATTTTCAAGCTCTTCAGAGGATTCATACCCATTTGCTCCTCATCTGGGATGCCCATGATCTTCATTGCTTCCATAGTCTCCAGGAACATGTCTTTGTCTTGCTGACCCGGGATTGTAACATGCCCATTGGAAAGGAAACGATATTTGTTGTACGGCTCCAGCAGCAGATCAGCTTAGGAAAGAATTGAAAAAGCAAAGTTATGACCTTTGTTATGGACGACAAGCTATTGCTTAGAGCAAATTTCTGAATTGTGTATGTTGCAGCTCAAAGTGAATCAGCACTCCTTGAAAGGTCAGCTAGAGGTACCTGAAACTCTAGCTGACCCTTTTTCCTGGAAGTCTTTTTTCCTGTATGACAGAACAGGGACAAAGTCACTTGTGTTATGCCCTCTCCTTTCCAGGCAAGGGCTGAGAACCAGATTAAGACATACTAAAGATCCTAGAAATACTTTTCAAAATTTAGAATATATGCTTAATTGTTTTTGAAAAGCTGGCCCTCAGGTTTTTTTTCTATTCACAACAAATGGAGAGGTAACTTGCTTGATGAATCTGTACTAAGACCAGCTTTACTAGCAGCACAACACTTAATACCTATTTTTCTTACTTAATAAGGTGTTTCTACGTTATTTCTTTCTATTATCTCCTCTGGAAAACTCTTGAAATAGTACCCACTATGACAAAAGGCTTCTCCTGTCCTTCCCAGATCAGTTTACAGTTCTCACACATCATGGGCGCTAAGTAAGGATCTCTCTGACTGAGATTTTCAAACTAGGTGCACTAGAATCCTAGACTTCTAGAGCTGTTTAGATTCTAAATGCTTTGCTCCATTCAGTTAAACGCTGAGTACAGAGCAGTAGGATCATTCCTGCACTGAATGGTTTACACCATGCAAGGCAAGACTAAACAGGGGACAATTATTTGGATAAGGAATGGTGTAGAGTCATTGCTGGCAAGGAGACACATACAGAAAAGAACCAGAGAAGCAAGTTTTCGTGAACTGAGAAGTACAGGGGGAGGGCAGAGGCATGTATAAGTGTAGGGAGGAAGTGAAGAAAGAATAACTGCCTCTAAAAGCTAGTGGCTTGAGCCAAAAGGCTACAAAGAAACAGGAACAGGCCCTGGTCTACAGTGTTTGGGTCACTCTGTCATTAAAATGAGAGAATCCCATAACTACAAAAAAAAAAAAAAAAAAAAATCATACTTACTCTTCAGATGCTCCCCTGCCCCGGACAGCAGGTAGTAAAAGATGTGAAATGTTCTCTCCTCTTTGGCTTGACGAATTGCACGTGATTTCTCCAGTAGATCTTTTCAGAATCAAGGAAAATGACCAGACATACAAATCACTTCCCATTTCACAACAGGAGAAAAACTAGCGATGCCTGCTATTCTCTTCACATCAATTGACAAGAACACTGATTTAGCAATTGTGACCAGCAAACAACCCACTGAGCTTCTCGTGATGGAAGGATGGCCATGACAAGAGAGGCTTAAACCATGAAGCCGTGGCCACCCTTCTCCGCCTCTCCTGGGCAGAAGGGAGAACGGCTCATGAAACCCCACAGCTATTCATTTTATCAGAGTTTACATTGCCATTTCAGCTTCCTATTGACTACAAGTCGTTAGTTAATTCTGAAGAGATTCCAACCATGACCCCAAAGGTTACAAAATACTCTATAAAGAAAAAGGAGACTACAGCACTAATCTTGCTAGCATAAATTTAAATGCCTCCTATCACATTCTCGACCTCACAAAAGTTAGATGTGAAGAGATTTCTAGATTATATTATTGCCGCACTCTACACACTGTAGTTTTTCTCTTTTAAATAACTATATAGCAAGGATACAGGTCTCGATATTGGCTCCAACAATGTAGCCATTGACATCAAAGTTGATTCTGATGAATTTGCCCTGAGAGGAAGATACAAGCATTAATATTAAAATTAATTTTGTCTGGTAACAGTAAACAACAAGGGCAAATCATTTCTTATCCCAGAAAGGAAACTCAGAACAAGTCAGGCAAATTTTATGCAAAGCACAGGGTCAGCCAATAGGCAATGCCTACAACAATCAGAGTGGTTTAGCAAATACAACACCAAACACTTACTTGTAATGAGGGCATTTTGTGACAGACTCCAAACTCATCATGTTTCAGCCTATTATTTCCCACAGTCAGTCTTTTTTTTTTTACTTTCCCATGCTATATGGCTTAGACAGCTCTTCCTCCAGCACCAAAATCTTATCTCCAGCCCTTTTCATTACGTTCCAGTCCTGGCTTCCCATCTGCCTGTCATATACTGCCCATTGCTTACCAGAGCCAGCAAAATAGGCACCACTGTCTACAAAATTAGATCAAATCAAAACAAACCAAAAACCCACCAACTTTTATCAACTGAGAAAAAAAATCGACATAGGCAATCCTGTCACAGGTTCAGGTTCTTTCATACCAGCCACTTGCTGCAAACAGCAGCATTTTCTGGGTAACTGGTTGAATGACGTTTGCTTTCCAGATTCATTTGAGGGAAGCCAAAGAAAACTGTCCTGTCCTAAGAGGACGATTAACTCTTCTAACTCCACCCTACCTTCTTCTTCCCCTCTCCTTTTAGCATACTGGCACCCAAGCTGGATAATACTCACAAATCTTGAGGAGTTGTCATTCTTTACTGTCTTGGCATTTCCAAAAGCCTCCAGGATGGGATTAGCTTGCAGCAACTGCCTCTCTAGTTCTCCCTAGAAGAAAACCAGAAATCAATAAAAGAGGTAATGATTTGCTGCATTAAGCTTGGATCAAACCAGCTCTGAAGATTCAATTCACACTAGTTTGGCATCTGTTGCAGAGAAGCTATATTAAACCTTAGGAGATGCTCCCTCAGACCTTCAAAGGAGACTTGGGTAGAACAGAATTTCATTCCATTCGCAATGTGCCTTGTTCCTTTCCTCAACACAAAGGTCTCCACTTACAACACTGACTTTCTGTTAACAAACAGCTCGTTAAGGCTACTTGACCATAATCAGTCAGGATTGGAGCAGAAGAGCATTCATTCTATCCAAGATCATGCCCACATCCCAGAAGTGTCTTGCCATCCAAGCAAGAAGAGTGAGAAAAGATCTTAGTTTGCTATTGCAAGACAGCCCTGAACTCTGCTGGTAGTAGATTAAACAAAAACAAAAAAACTCCAAAATAAATAAAGTTTTCTTGAACTAGACCGACCATCCTCCACAAAGCAAAAAGGCCTTCTTTGTGAGGAGGCACGTGCGCGCGCGCACACACACACAATGGAAAATTAGTGGCATCCCACAAACTGCAGGATCACTTGTGTTCTGCTGCACTGCTTGCACACTCCTCCCCTCAAGGAACACAAATGCTGGAGCTGCAAAAAAAAAAAAAAAAAAACTGTACTGAAAACTTCCTGATGCATAACTGATGGAAATTGGCTTTGGTTATTGAGAACTGGAACTCATGGACAAAACTTGCAAAGCTATGGCTACAGAAAAGTATTTCCCATTCATTCTCAAGGTGCGTTATAAAACAGGTCAATCCTCACACTGCCTCTCTAAAAATACACGTAGTTAAAAAAAAATAAACAAATAAAGTGAGGCAGAGATACCAGGAACTGAGAAAAGAACTCCATGTTATTATTTTATTATTTCTTACTTCCACAGTTCCTTTATGCTTGCAACACGCAGAGCCAAATCCTACCCTCAGTCAAAGCACAACTGCACATTCATAGAAGAGACAGCTGCTGCAAACACTTCAAATCACTGTCATATATAACAAGGCATTACAGCCCTGAAAAGGGAACCTGAACTGCAAGATCTGCTATCTTACAACAGCACCAGTGTGGGACTTTGTAAGGAGAAAACCTTGAAACTGATTTCCAGGCCTTGCAATTGTGCATCAGTTCCAATTCCCTCTCCTATTCCACCACCGACACCGAAGTTGGAACTCTCTTCTCTTCTTCTTCTGCATCCTGCAATTAAGTCCTAACTCCCTGTTTGTGACTGCAGTATGTTGCTATGGCAGTGAGTGATGTCACCAACTTAACATTTCAGCCCAACTAAGAAACAAGGAGGGAAGAGATCAAAAAAGAGTTTTGCTCTAAATAGAAGGGAGGCTTTGACATTGAATCTATTTTAATTATGTGGTTAAAAATGAAACTAAGATCAGCTACACAAGAATCAAACCATATTAGCTTAGCTACACAGAAATAAAAAGTTGCTAGAAAAAATGTATACCACAGACCTTTTGGGTAGTCATTTTTAATACTTCAGGAATAAGGTGTCATTAACGACATTTAGGTAATAGCAAATTGCATTTTAGAAGTAATTAGGTCACTTTAGCTAACAGGCAGGGAGAATGCCAGCTTAGAGAATACAATATATGGCTGTGGGAAAGAAGAAAAGGCTAAAGTTGGTCAAATCACTTCTCATAACCTGCCTCAGCACTGTGATATGGCAGTAAAAGCAAGTTCTCAGCACGCCACAGCAACAGCACAAAAGATTCAGGAGCTCTGTGATACTACTGTGATATATCTGTTCCTCACTCACACGCACTGTAATGTGGGCTGTGTTTAGGTTTTCAAGAAACTTTTTTTTTTTGACCTTCAATATTAAAGGCTGAAGGCTTCATTATTCTAATATTCTTCTGGAATGGGCAACTTCAACCAGCAAAAAACAGAACAACATAGAGCTGTCACAAACTTTCTAGAAATGCTCAGGTTCCTATCATTAATTGCAGGCCCTCGACCTGAATTTTGTCAGAACAAATTCATATAATATTTGGCATGCACCTGAAGTGTGTGCAGTATTTCTCATGCAGACTGAGGCAGTAACAGTCACTGGATCTGTTGGCCCTGGGTCAGGCACTGCAGACTCTTGAGCACAGTCTTTTCCCTCTGCTCCAAAGTTACACCACCAATTTAAAGCAACTAAAATCAAAACCTTGATATCAATTTATACATTGAATTTCTTGTGCATCTTGTGCACTTTTTGGAATGACTTCTATGTAAGATAGAAGCCTTGCTAGCCATCTGTTTTTTTCAGGAAATATGGAGAAAGGCATCTAGAAATCAAAACTAGCTTTAACAGAATGCAATGAAAAATAAAATAAATCAAGTTGTTTCTTCTGTTTTCTAAATATCAGCAATTTGCTTTTGTATTCTTCCTTGCAATCATATGAGAGATGCAAGTAACAGGATCCGACAACATTGGGTTGGAGGGCGGAAAGGCAGAGAGAGTACCAATAATCTAACTCTCATGACAAAGATTAAGGCATCAGTAACTATTATCCATGAATTTCTTGTTTGCTGTGAACTTTCTCATCTTGAAAAGTTTATTACATGGTTTAACAAGTCTGTGGAGAGGCAGAGACTAAGAATGGAAAAACATCAATCCTGCTTCTATAAATAAAGTTTGATTAAATGAAAAAAAGTGGTTACATAATCAGATCCAGTAGGCCCTAAAAGCAGCTGTAATGTGCTTAGTATTCATACCATGCATCTAGAAGCTATTTAGCCAAATACTCGTACATACTAATGCACTGGCATCAGTGGAAATTGCCACTATCTCTAAAACAGAGCTACAGCTGAAGAACACATTGCATAACCCTGATTAACTTGAATTCTTGGGAAAACAGGAGTTTAGGTTCTAAGCTTCTACTAGAAGACAATCAGGAAACTTTTCTGATAAGGGAAGCACCGGTTCTTCCCACACTGTCATTGGTTTTAAGGTCCATGTCTAATCTTGCTCCTCAGTGTCAGCATAGATTTCTTTTTGGCTTGAAGCACAGAGACTTGGCACTACCATACTCTATCCTAAAGCATAAGTGTGCAGCCATCAGAGATCTGAGAGTAAATAAATAAATAAATAAATGGTTTCAGTCTTCATAAAAATCTCCTAATCTGACTCCAAGTGCAATGTTTATAAAGAACTGTTGCCTAAGGAACAGCAGTTACTGTTTAATCACAAAAGTAGAGCAAAAAGTCAGTTGCAAAACTTCTCAGAAGATCCTTCAAAAATCAAATTTGGTCAAATCACACAACAAGTCCAACACGGGACTGTTTTGTTCTCCCAGGCAGATCGTTGTCCTGCTTAGGTGGTTGAAATTTTGCTCAAGGATAAGTAGTGGAAGAATGCTTAACTCAAACCCATGATTCTATTTTCCACATTAAAAAAAAAAAAAAAGGGAGAGGAGAAGGAGGAAAATGTTTCTAAATACAGCTACTGACAGCCATGGAAAAAGCTTTCATATGTCTGAATGTTTGGCACATAAAAAGTTATTTTTTTGGTTGGATTCCAGAAGCCATTTATTACAAAGTGTGCACATGCACACATAGCATTTCTGGGTTCAGAGATGCTCTCTTATTCATGAACTCTATATAACACCTATCTACACACTAAGCTACTAGGAGAAAACTCTTATGCAGAGATACAGTGGATGCACTTGGCATCTGGCTTTCATTAGCGAGCTCAGCACTGAACATTTCCCATGTGTTCAGCTTTGGCGAACAAGCTCGCAGTCCTGGAACATCCCATCTGCAGGCCAGCTTCCTCCTGACCTTTCTCAGCAACCTGCACCCACATCTAACTTCTGGGAATAGAAAACTGAATACTTAACTAAATTTGTCTCACTATGCACACACCACACATCCTAGAAATTCACGGTTCTAGGAAAAGCCTGGTCCAGTCCTATTGACATGGAGGAACGCTTCTTTCCCAACAGTATACCTGGGAAAATCCTGCAAGAAAAGCCTTAAATGCAAAACAGTATTGAGCACAGAAGACAAGTATTCCCGACATTAGTCTCCAGTTGAATATCCTGATCCAAAAGATTACTGTGCATCACGCAAAAAAACAATAGTGAATTGTCTATGGGATTGTTCAAAGCTGCAGAAAGTGATATTGGTGTAGAGTGAAAAGCTGCTCAAAAAAATCACACAATGGGACAGAAAACGCATTCCTGGTGCAGAACGTGCAGTAAACGTGCAGCTCACCTACGAGGATACAACTGATGAATTCGGCAATAGTCCATCGGGGGAGAGGGAGGGGAAAAAAATATAAGTGAGACATCTTCAAAGTCCTCCCATCACCGCCACCACCCTCCTTTCATGTGCTGCAATGCTTGACTCTTCTCCACCCTTTTCATGTTTTCCTACAGTTTTAGCGTTTTCAGCTGACATCTACCAGCCTATCAACCTATTCTCCACTTTCAAAAAAGTATGTAAGAGCCAGCCCTGATACATAAAGGTACTGAAGAAAAGAGATAACTCCTCTGGGGAAGGGTAAGTTTTAAACTGCCTTGACTTTCTGTATGTGATACATGTGTGTAAAAAGACCAGAAGGAAGGAGTGATGCTTCATTCACAGTGTCCCTACACATGCTTGCCCACAAATCCAAGATACTGTTCATGGAATCATAGAATGCTTAAGGTTGGAAGGGACCAACCTGTTGATGAACTTATCCCCACTGTAGCTACCCTGAATTCAAAGGAGTTATATAGAGCTCACATATAACCTTGGCTTGTATTTTATGGCAAACTTTTATGATTTCATAGATAACTGTTCTCCTCATTTTATGTTCTCATAGTTTACTGTGCTCCTCAGTCCCCAGTAAACATTTTTATCTAGACTTTTATTTGGTAACATGGCTTTTACCAATGTCAACCAATTGAAACTATACTGTTGAAAGCCAGCACAGTACTACAGCACCATGAAGATAAAGCTAGGTCTTACCTGGTCCTTTTTAGATTTATGCGAGGAAGCAACATGAGCCAGATACTGAATGACCTTCTTGGTGTTCTCTGTCTTACCAGCTCCTGATTCACCTCTGTAAAGAAAGTCTGTGATTCAATCACGAAATAGACAACGGGTGATGTATTCAATACTCCTAATCCCCGAAGGGCTACAGAGCACTTCAACGGCTTTCTGACTACCTCTGTCAAAACCAACAAAAACTGAATCACAGCAGTGAGCAGTAGCAGCACAGCCGGGAGGGCCGCCTAGCCGTGAGCCAGTTTCTCACGGGGTGTGGGTTGGATGTATGTACACAAAGGCGAGAATGGAATAAAAAACTGCGCTTTCCAGTCACATGGATGGTTTCCAAGTGTCTGGGGAATAATCTGGAGGCTGCTGTGGTGTTAGGGGCTCATAGGTAATGAAGGCAATCTTTCAACAGCAAGCCCCCTGGGCATAAAAAGAAACACCCCAAGTCCTTCAGCAGAACTCACTCACTCAGGCTTTTCGAGCCAATCATGTCTAGAAAAGAAACTGCTGTGTCAAGTAGGAGCATTTGTTTGTTGCTACATCAGCCTCATTGGTATGAATGTACTTAAACACAGCAGCTGCATCAAATCTTAAAGATTCTCCAAGTCATTTCTCATAACAAAACAGTTCTTCCCTGGGAATTTGAGCACAGGGACTGCTTCAAAAATGCCTTTCTTCCTGAGAAGATGATTCTGCTGACAGGATTAAATACATATTGGAGGAGTTTAAAAGGACAAATACTTCCTAGACCCTCCAAAGTTACCTTGATTTACTGACTTCCGCCCCCAGCACACTTACAAATAGAAAAATTCTTCAAGCAAGAATTGTAATACAGAAGTTGTTATCAAAAAAAAGCTGACAACTGTAGATACTCACGTGCAAAGGATGGACTGATCCTCTCGATCTAGAATAAATAAAAACAAAGAAATAATTTTGAAACTGTAGTCAGACCAAGACAAATTTAAACTTACATTTCTATGATGTAAGCATATCAACACCAAAGACAAAAACATAAGCCGGCAAATTCCAACAAGCATCCTCAGAAGAATGGCCAGACAACCCCTTTTCCAGCAACAGAAGCCAACCTCCCGCCATCTGCCAGTCAAAGAACAGTGGCACCGTCATGCAAACAACCACAGTTTGCATCATAATTTTTGTACAAACAATACAGAACACCTCCTCCTTTCTGACCCTGAATGTTTCTTTATCACAGGGCTATAGTTCAGTATAAACCTACTTGTCCTTCAGCCCACTCCAGCCCTCACTCTTCTATATCCATACTAAGAGAGTTATCAACAGAGCAGGGAAAATGGATTTTGAAGAGAGTGGTAGTGGACAGGGCAAAAATAACCCCAAAACAAACAAACAAAAAACTCAAAAAAAAAAAAAAAACACCTCTCGGCAAAGGTTTTCATCCCCTAAAAGAAGCATTCTGAGCCCATGGAAAGGATTTGTTACTGATCTTATACAGACTGGAGTTGAAAACTGCAATGCTGAGCAGCAGTGTAAATCCTATGCAGCCAATGGATTCATAGCACCATTCTGTATTAAATGAGGAGCTTATGAGCAGCTGGTAACAGCAGAAACCTTTTCTCTTGCATGCTGATATACCACAAAAATCAGGAGTCAAAAGGCTGCAGTGTGGTAGATGTACCAAGTGGCAGACGTACCAACTCAGGGATTCAACTCCTTGCTGCGGATGACAACATCTTTCCCGTTACAGAACTTACTGCTCTCAGCCTACCAGCCACTATCTTCTCCAACATCTTCCAGCTGCTTCGAGCTTTCATCTATGATTTCACTTCCTCATACACAAGCCTTTCCACCATGTCTTCATTCCACTGCTCCCCCACTTCCATGTTCACATGCTTCTGCTGCCTCGGTTTCACTTTTCAGCCCTCCCTGCTAGTCCAGGCTGCCCCACAGGCTTTCCCTGTGTGACCAGGCACTGCAGAAGTTATTCACATAGTCTTGTGTCACACAAGAGCCATGAGGACACCTACAGAACAGACAGAGCCATCAAACTGAAGCTCTCCACTAGTTCAGAAGGATTTTTGGTGGTGGTGGTAGTTTTTTTGTCTGTTTTCTTTTAATCAACACAAAATTCTTAACTTACTATGTGAGAGATTAAGATCTGACATATCACAACATAGTCTGAGAATCTGAACATCACTACAGTGAGATTTCATCCAGTTACTGCCATTCTTCCCTTTTTTCCACATTGAGCTTTTATTGGACTAAACTTTCATCTAAAAAAAAACAAGACAGTAGGGCTCGAAAATCCCTAAGAGACCAAAATTCACTGAATTCTTCCAAATAATCTATTTCAGCTATGAGTAATTTCCAGGAGTCTGTTTCTGAATGTGACTGTCTCCGTATTTTAGTTACTGGTTCTGCCTGCTCCTTTCTCCAGGAGCTCAGAGTACCCAAACGCACTCAGCGTCCTCTCACAGAGGTACTTAGACGATGTAATTGAGTCGCCATGCAAGTTTCTTTGTGCAAGATAAAGAGATTGAACTCTAATGAGAGAAGGCTTCATAGTGAGAGAGAGTTCAAGTATTTGAAACTGCTTTCCTACAGCCTAAACACTGCCAACACAAATACTAAATGTATTTCAGGCCTAATCTCACAAATTCAACAGTAACAACAAACTCCACTTACTAAAAGAGAGAGGTATATCTGGCCTTTGAACACAATTTCATGGAACAGGAAGAACAGAAAATCTAACAGCTCTGGTATTGTTCCTATCTATTCTTATATTATTCTGCACCTAACAGTAGAAACATCAGGATCCCACATTATAGATAGGTAATTCCTGGGCTACAGCTTCTTAACAAGAAACCTGTTGTATGTGAACAAGAGCACAAGATTCAGAGGAAAATAAGTTCCTTTATGCCAGTTGATGCAATTCGCAGAAGGGGCAGATCTAATATTCAGCCCCAAGACAGCAAGAAAGTATGTGGAAAAAAAATGCCACTCAGGAGGTTTTAGGGCAGCAAGCTCTAAGCATCCAGAACTAGGTCCTGCGGCTTTACAAGCATTGCACATTCAGTTGAGTGCTGAATTATATTTAACATTTTATATTTAATCTAGTTGATACTTAATTATATTACATTTAAAATATTATATGTAATATTTGCATTACACCTTTATATAGGATATGTGTGGATTGCTCTGAAGGCACCACCCACTCAAGGTTCGCAGTGGGTCAGCAGCTTGGCTTGCACACGCCAACCCTCTGCATAACTGGGCATCAGGAGGGTGGATCGGGGCAAGAACTAATGACTCATTTACAGATGGCCTCCGGAAACGTGTTCTTCAGGAGTGGTGACACCTGGTGCAACTCTCCACCACAAAACAGCTATGTAAAGGGAAAAGATTTTGTCCCTGAATAACTTTTGAAAGTTTGACTGTGAACATTAGAAGCAGCCCACTTGTCCTAGGAGATGTTGCACTTGCATTCCAGTACTAGAGAGGCTAACCCAAGAAGCCTTTTTGAGGAAAAAAAGATAACCCAAAGGATGGGATGATACTCCTACTAAGTCCTGGTAAGCAATTTTGACAACTGAGACTCCCCGAACATGGAATAGAGCCCTAGGTACTTAAGATCATACAGTCTAAATAACATACATCTTTCCCTTTCTTCTCCTCCAAGAGGGCATCCTTATTTCAGCAAAAACACTCGCAAGGAGCCCATTAAACCACTGCCCAACAGAAAAACAGATGATCAACATCAGATAACATCCAGAAGCATTTTGGCATTACACGCTTTTTTTTTGTTCATGACAAATTTTGTCATCCTCAATTGAAAGGCTCTTTAAAGGCTTTTCCAAAAGGAACATTGGAATCCCTTCCAAAAGGATAAGGTGGCAACACCGTTCTGCAATTACCCAAGGAAGCCCAAGTGCCAAGCACGTGTTCCTTCCACACATTGGCGGAGCAGGGCACTGTAAGCGGTGCCGATGCAGGAAACGGCACAGACCCTGTTCACCGTCGTCCCCTTGGCACTTTGTTTTCCTCTCCCAGCACACTTGCGTGGTGGCCTCATGCAGCTGTGTTAGTCACCCCTGCCTTAAACCAGCAAGAACGTACCTGCGAGTGCAGGCAAGTCACCGGCAGTGTGCAGACACTGCCATAAAAGGCAACATTCCTGTTTGCAATCCAGGGGAAATTCTTTCCCAGGACTGCAAAGCAGCAGTCATTGGGATAGCTGGAATTCTTCTAATTGTGCACGAACAGACAACTCAAATAATGTGTTGAGCAACAGGAAATTGGAGCCTACCAAAGAGCCAGCAACTACAAAAGCAACTCTTAGACACAGCTCCAGTTAAGAATTACTCTATATATCAATATTCATTCTCCATGCAACTCTGTCACCATGATGCAGAATTCAATTGCTCAGACAAGAGGCACCCTCCCCCTTCATTCTCCCTGCCTTTTTTAAAGGATCATTCAACACAGGAGCGCTGCACAACTTCAGTCAGCACTTGCCTTTATTCCACTGTCAGTTGTGCAAGCCACACACTCAGCGAAACAGAATGTGCTGGGTACCATAAACTCCGTTGCTTACAATAACACAATCAAGAAACTCCTGATTAAAAGGAATCTGCATCTGCTTTTCTATCCTAAACAAAGTCGCTTATTAAAAACAATCCAGAAGAACAACTCATTAGTTAATTATATCAGCATTTCTCTATTTCAGAGCAGCTGGCAAGGAAAGCTTTGTTATCTAGACTCTTATTCATTATCACAGTATTCAAGCAATCACAAGCAGAAGCCTCAACCATCCATAAATTCAGGATGTTACACATCCTTCAAATTTAGGCTATACAGCTGTATAACTAGATCACGCAATTATTGATCGCATTTAAAAAAAGACCTTAATATCTAACTCATTCTTGACTTTCTACAGCCCAGAAACTTAAGTCTCATTCTAGACTGCTCCCAGGACCTCTCAGCTTTTATTAAAAACATAAGTAAACTAGAATTTGTTTTAACAGGAGAGACATATTAAAAAATAGAACTCAGACGTCTATTCTACTGCAAAATAACAGAGCCGAACAAATTCTGCAACTGCTGTGGTCAGGTATGTTGGCATAACTGATAAATGGAGTCCCCAACTCCTGAGTTTGTTCTTAGACGTTTCGAGAATGAAGAGAAAAAAGGTTGGCAAGCTAGAACAGAATGTGCAATTTACCCTATGCATCTCAGTTACGGAACGTCCTAGCAGGCCTTTATCACCCACTTCCTCTGCCTGAGCGTTTCAGGCCTGTTCATCTCCATAAAAGGAGAAGTAATATAGCACTCACACGCTGCTGACATCATCTCTCCAGCTAGGAGGAAGCGGGGCTGGAAGGCAGCGCCTTGGCTCACGCTCCCCTGCCTATAGCTGACTCATTAAGGTTAAAAGCTAACCAGAGTTAGCTAGTACCACCCACCTCCTAACCACGGAGAGCAAGGTCTGGCAGGAGAGAGGAGCCTGGCCTCTAGGTTTCCGTTACCGCTGCTCTGAGCGCCTGCAGCCCTTCATCAACTGGCTCACCCACCGATTTAGAGAGTTGACTTAAATCGAGAGTTACTCTCGAAAGCATGCAAGTGCTTAAAGCATGTGGTAGTTTCACACCTTTGCTCCTTCCACAAGCATCTCTTCTCATCACAACATCATCTTACATCCTTCTTCCCTCACTGCTCTAACGCTTGAGGAGCCCCAGGCGTCTGTCCCTGCTTGTGCTACTAGGAATAACGCCCCCCTGGCAGAAAATCTAATCAAATATACGCACGGTGGTGCTTGCACCTATATGCTGGTTGGAGTAGGATCAGAACCAGTCCAGCAAAACACCCAAGCACAGCCCGAGTGTCTGCTTTTCCACTGTCCTTCAAGGGACTGCCTGGGAGAGAAGTTTC